AGAGAGACTTGTATTGAATGGTGAGAAACAATACGAGTTGTTGTTGTCGTGAATGACAACTAATAATAGACTCTTTGAGCACTTCCTGTGAGAACCAGTTCTGTGGGAATAAGCGGTCAGTCGTTGTCTGCCTTCACTACAGTCTAGAGATGCGATCAACACTTCATTTGTCCACAAATGCCATACAAAGCCATACAAAGCAAAACTCATTCAAAGCCTAAACACTTCTTATGATTATTGGTTACGAAGACATTAAACCACTAATTCATTCATGTCTTGCAGCGCTTCCGCTCACAGACTCTGTCTTTAAATCAATCCAAATGTGATTACAAGACATATAACAACACATTTCAACGCAAACACATCTCAATTCACATCCATTTGTGGCTTTGAATGCATTTATAAATTTATTAAATCATTCATTCATTGCTTCGTTGTATTGATTGTCATATTATTATCAATAATAACATTGCATTCATTCATCACAATATATATCATATACAGTATGACTGCATTACAAGTTATGTACACTAAAACAATACTCACATCCAATCAATCAGAATATATATTGTAAGACAAAACACAATTGAAATTCAATTACAAATTGCATTGTATTTATGTTTACAATTTGTTGCACTAATTATTGCAGTAATTAGTATATTATACATGGGTTTGACTGTAACTCCTCTAATGACTCAATCATATCATAATTTGTGACTCCTTTTCCTGATTGAACCCAATTTGTGAGCCATTCATACATAACGTTACGCTATTCTTTCCGTAACACACTTTACGAATAGAGCGTTAAATTGAAATCAATGTGATTTAATTTCACACGTGTTTTGAGTGGTATTGGCTTTCAATGCAATTATCTGTCACTCATTGACCACAACATCACATCCAGAAGAGAGACAATGAAAGTAAAAGTGTTGAGTCGGAGTCACATGCAGTACATGAGGGAAACCAAACATGACATCCATAAGGGTAAGCATCACTTCCATCTGATCCCATACTTTGAAGTGAATTAATGGCCATTTGTTTTGATTGTTTTGACGAACAGTTGAACGCAATTATAGTCCAAATCTTCATCCGTTTGAGACAAACCGCGAATACAAGAGAGCCATAAATGCTGTCAAAATTGACCGAATGTTTGCTAAGCCTTTCATGTCATCACTTGAGGGCCACTCAGATATTGTGCAAACTCTGGCCAAACACCCGACAAAGCTATCGACACTGTTGTCCGGCGCCGCCAACGGAGAGATCAAAGTATGGGATATAAGTGATGGCAAGTGTCTGAAAGCCATCACTGCTCACAACTCTATTGTCCGCAATATATGTGTTCCTCTTCACGGAAACTACTTCTTCTCCGTCGACGACTCCAACATAAAACAGTGGAGTTTTGACCACATTTACAACACATCCACCCATTCATCACAAGCTCTTCAGCCAATGAATACTCTAATCTCGAAAACAGTTATTCACGGAATGGATATTCAAAGAAATAAACCATTTTTGATGACTTGCGGCGAAAAAGTAGATCTTTGGGAAGAGAGTCGACCGCAACCGTTGAGGACATACCGATGGGGTGTCGATAGCGTTAATTGCATTAAATTTAATCCAATCGAAACAGACCTCTGCATCGGTGCCGCCAGTGATAGGAGTTTACAGATATATGACATCCGAAAGTCAGAACCGTTGCGTAAAGTTGTGTTGAATATGCGAACCAATAATATTGCGTGGAATCCAATGGAAGCGTTTGTCTTCACGGCCGCCAACGAAGACAGCGATTTGTATACATTCGATATGAGGAACTTAAAGGCCGCTCTTCAGGTGCATAAGGATCACGTCTCGGCTGTCATTGATGTCGACTATTCGCCCACTGGTAAAGAGATTGTGTCCGGAAGTTATGACAAGACTATACGTATATTTGGTACCGAATCGGGAAGAAGTCGTGACGTTTATCACACGAAACGTATGCAAAGGTTAACATCGGTTGTGTGGACCGCAGACAACAAATACATTATCTCAGCCTCTGATGAAATGGACATAAGAGTCTGGAAGGCCTTCGCGTCCGAGAAGTTAGGCTTTAAGACGTTTAGAGAACAATCGACTTTCGATTATCAGAACAAATTGATGGAAAAGTATGCAAACCATCCGGAAGTGAAACGCATAGCCCGTCACCGACACGTTCCCAAACATGTCGTCCAATCATCTAAAGAGAAACGTCTTATGGTTTCCGCTGAGAAACGCAAAGAATCCAATCGTCGGCTTCACTCTAAACCGGGAACTATTGGTTTTGTATCCGAAAGAACTAAAGCTATTGTCTCCGAAGAAAAATAATATCACAATATATGTGTTCCACAATATATGTGATTATTATTATAATCACTGTATTTATTGAATATAACTATACTTTAATGAAATCTTTTCATTAATTATAAAATTTTTATGAAATAAAATTTCTTTGAAAAGTTTGTTGTTTGAAAAATTGCTTTTAATTTACTTTTGGTTTTAAACATATGTAAATGAATTAATGTGTTTAAAATACAGTAAATACTTGAATAAGTAATTATAAAGTAACGTTATGTATCCTCAATACTGATCTCAAGATTACGGCACACATTACCCCGTAAAACACTTAATATCATTTATAAATCGCTTGTTTTGCCGCAAATTGATTACTGTTTATGTGTTTATGGTTTTACATACAAAACACATTTTGATCGCCTCGAGAGACTCCAGAGACGGGCCGCTCATGTGATCACATTCTCTAACGAAAGTGTGGATCAATTGTATAAAAGTCTTCATTGGATACCAATTATTCAAAGAAGAGACTATTTTTCATCAATTTTTATTTACAAATGTTTGCATCAATTGAATGCTAATCGATGTCATAATCTCTTCAGCTATACTCCCGGCGCCCGAAGGACTAGATCTGCCACTAATCGTGAACTAATGCTCCCGAAAAGCAATCTACAAAGTTTTAGAAATACTATATTGTATAGTGGAGTAACTATTTATAATTCAATAAGTCTTAATCTTAGAAATAATAATAATTATAATAATTTTATTTTAAATCTTAAAAAGTTGTTTTTTATATTTTAACTGTTTTTTATTTAAGTATGTAATGTATTTTTGAGACGTCTGCACTGAAAATCAACCTAGTTGAGTGCACGGCGTCTGTAAACAACAATAAATTCAAATTCAAATACTCTAATAATAAGATATTAGTATAGGATGTGTGAAAAATAAATTTTTCTTAACATTTTATATTTAGTTTTATTACTAAACTTTCCGTTTGTTTTAATTCTATCTCAAATATTTCTGTTTTTATTTTAAAATTCACTCAATTTTACAAAATAGTTAAAATATATACTATTAACCGTTAAAATAGTTGCTATAATTAAATGCAATTCCCTGGTTATAATAATTTGTATAAATATTAAGACCATATTTTTATACANTGGCATTTGTGGACAAATGAAGTGTTGATCGCATCTCTAGACTGTAGTGAAGGCACACAACGACTGACCGCTTATTCCCACAGAACTGGTTCTCACAGGAAGTGCTCAAAGAGTCTATTATTAGTTGTCATTCACGACAACAACAACTCGTATTGTTTCTCACCATTCAATACAAGTCTCTCTCACTCTTCAGCCCTTAAGAGAGACAACAAAAAGTAATAAACATTTAATTTGTTTCAAACATTTGGTTTCATTTGAAGACAACAAGTGTTGGGAAGAAGTGAAACGCATTTCGATATATCAGTGATTGTGTGAGTGATGTCTTCGATGACCATAACTATGAGAAGCGGTTCCAACGCGTCGTCGAGTAATCATCCGTACTCTTCAGCAAATGGCGGATCAATGAATGATATGATGTCTTCGTTTAGTTTGAGTGATTTGACGCCCGAAGAGCAGCAGCTGTTGTCTGAGATCAGGCGCCGGAAGACTGATCTGATGACCGAAATCCAACAGTTGAAGGACGAGATCTCTTCCGTCACACAAGAGATGTCTAGACTTGAAGTGAACGACGAGACAAAAGTGAACACAAAAGAGAAACAGCGATCGATCGGCAAAAAGAGGTTTAATATGGACCCCAAGAAAGGCATTGAATACCTCATCAACAATGGTCTGATGAACAACACTCCCGAAGCCGTGTCTCAGTTCCTGTTCAATGGCGAAGGCCTTAATAAGACGGCGATTGGCGTGTATTTGGGCGAAAAGATTGATTTCAATCTTCTAGTGTTGGACTCATTCGTTGAATTGCATGACTTCACGAATTTGATTCTCGTTCAGGCGTTGCGACAGTTCTTGTGGTCGTTTCGACTGCCAGGAGAGGCCCAGAAGATCGACAGAATGATGGAGAAGTTCGCCGCCAGATATTGCCAACAAAACCCGGGGGTCTTCAGCAACACTGACACGTGTTATGTACTGAGCTTTTCAATAATTATGTTGAATACAGCGCTTCACAATCCGTCCGTCAAAGACCGGCCGACTGTCGATAAGTTCATTACAATGAATAGAGGCATCAATAATGGCGGAGATCTGCCCAAAGAATTGCTGCAATCGCTGTACGAAAGCATAAAACAGGAACCGTTCAAAATCCCAGAAGACGACGGCAACGACTTAATGCACACGTTCTTCAATCCGGACAGAGAGGGGTGGCTCTGGAAACAGGGCGGACGATACAAGAGTTGGAAGAGACGCTGGTTTATACTTAACGACAAGTGTTTGTATTACTTCGAGTACACCACCGATAAGGAGCCGCGGGGTATCATTCCCTTAGAAAACGTACAAATCCGGGAATATAGCGAACGCACGTCCAAACCCTATTGCTTTGAGCTCTTCTCAGCCGCCGGACATTCGGAGGTGATTAAGGCCTGTAAGACCGACGCCGACGGAAAGGTGATCGAAGGCCGGCACACCGTTTACCGCATGTCCGCCGCCACCGCCGAAGAGAAGGACGAGTGGGTCAAAGGTATCAAAACAAGTATCAGTCATAACCCTTTTTATGACATGTTAGCCGCGCGTAAACGTAAGGCTCAACACCACTGACCCGCTTAAGGAATTAACATTAAGAACTAAGTCATTCAAATATTAGTTAATATTTATTATTAACTATATATTCTTTCTCTAACCAAACAAATACTAAATATTTAATTTTATTTCACTTTTTATACCGTATTTATTATATTCTCATTTCGTAAACACTTATGTTTTTGGTTTTTTATAGCAATTAATATCATATTTATATAATTTGTTCTGACATTAGATTTTTTTGCAAAATATAAAACAATAATAATATTATGTTTGTATTACGAGTAATGCAAACGCTTTGTTATATAATTAACACATATTTTTAGTAATTAGTATTGTTTGTATTGGTACATTTAACAATCTCCGCCTTTCAATATTTGCCGTGTATATAAAATGATGATTAATTTTATAATTTAAGTTCACTTTCTGAGGCCACAAACTTTCATAGCAAAATTGCATAAAGATCGGATCCATAATTATCTTACAATAAGTTTTTCAAATATTGGAGTCGATATAATGTGTCCAAAATGTACACTTAATATTCCATATCTCGAACCAAATGAAACTCGAAATCCTTTAAAACTCAAACTAATTTTAAAACCCGATTCACTCCCAATAGACACCCAATTATACTAAACCTCCAAAACTCGAAATTGTATTCCTTTCGAAACTATCACTCATCTCATTAATACATGATTTGACAATCTTTATAAAACTATGTTTTTGGTGCCGAGGAATGTCAATTATGGCATTTATTGAGTAATTGTATTTACATGGCAAATATTTGAAGGTGTGACATTTTCAAACATACTAATAATATCCATAAATACATGATATTGAATGCTAAAAATAATATTACATTGAATTACTTTTACGTGTTATTTATAACTGAACTAACAGTTAGTTTCACTTAACCAACGATCGATTCATAACAAATGCATATATAATGAGACAATTAAGCAAATCAATGGTTGTACGGAATCGATTGCATTGTCATTCTGGTCATCAAAATACAGATTGAGAAATATTTTAAGAATTTGTTTTAATTTTTGTATTTTATTAATTAATATTTACATATTATTGTCAATTACACTATACTTATAAAATACTGATTCATTATCTCAGCCGTGCCTTTCAATTGTCTTAAAACATATAATTATAAATAAAATTAAATCAATTTTATTTCAATTAATTCCGGATTTTTCTAAACCAATTTTCTAATTACTAATACATTTGATTCAACTTAATTAATACTAAGGGTCAGCAGCACTAGTAGGCTCTGATGGCGGGCGGAACGGTATTACATTCGTTATCTAGTGTCTGGTCAATGACGGGTCGGTACCAAATGCCCACTTTCCCGTTGTCGACCACCGCTAACGTATGTTTGCGCCAATGTTTCTCTACCGGACGCTTCTGTTGGCCCGCAATAGGCTTCGAGTAGTCGTACTCATCGACCCTATCCTTGAAGTCCTCCCTCGCGTGTGCGCCCCGACTCTCCTCACGGCGTTCGGCGCCATTAATTGTCATCAACGCGTTGAGCATCAGGTTCTGCAGTTCCAGCGCTTCCACCAGATCTGTGTTCCACACCATTCCTCTGTCTTTCAACTAATCATATAATACAACACAACATTATGTCTTATGTAATACTCTATTTCAATGCTTTCACAACACTTATGACGAAATCGTTTCATAAAAGCATTTCTTAATAATTCTGGTTTTACCACAGAATGTGATTATAAACCAGTTTTTCTGAATACATTTTCAGTAGTTATATTTTTATATCTAAAAGTATTAGTTTTATTCATTATTTCTATAAGTCTAGTCGTGAACTTACTTTGAGGTCAGAGAGTTGTTCGAAGCACTCGTCAATCTTAACACATCCCTCCCTAAGACTATCACCAGTCCTGAAGACAGCGGCGTGTGTTTGCATATATCTCTGCAATTTGAGTCTCAACTCTGCTGTGGATGTGGAACCGTTGGCGTGTCTCACTTTGTCCAGGTTTGCCACCGACTGTTCACCAGAATTAGCTTTTAATTCAGCGATACGTTCGCCCGGTTTGTTGGTCTGTGCGATAGTGTGAGCGCACGCCCGACCGAACACTACTAAATCAAGCAAAGAGTTGGCACCCAATCGGTTGGCGCCGTGGACTGAGGCGCAGGCAGACTCGCCGGCAGCGTATAGGCCGGGAATCACTTCATCACCTTTTCCTTCAGCATATGTCAGCACTTGTCCCTTGAAATTAGTGGGAACGCCTCCCATATTGTAGTGAACAGTTGGCAGCACTGGTATCGGTTCCCGAGTCACGTCGACGCCCGCGAATATCATCGATGTCTCCGAAATTCCGGGCAAACGTGTGGCCAACTGTTCGGCGGGCAAGTGATGGAGTTGTAGATACACGTGATCTTTAAGAGGACCACATCCACGGCCTTCTCTGATCTCTATAGTCATGGATCGGGAGACGACATCGCGAGAGGCCAAGTCTTTGGCCACCGGTGCGTACCTCTCCATAAAGCGTTCGCCTTCGCTATTCACCAAAAAGCCTCCCTCTCCTCGACAGCCCTCTGTTATGAGACAACCGGCGCCGTAGATACCGGTCGGATGGAACTGAACGAACTCCAAGTCCTGACAGGGAAGTCCTGCTCGACTTACCATTGCTGTTCCGTCGCCGGTCACCGTATGCGCAGAAGTGCACGAGAAGTACGCGCGTCCGTAACCACCGGTCGCCAGAACTGTGTTTTTGGCTCTAAAACGATGGAGGGATCCGTCTTCGAGGTTAAGAGCGATAACTCCAACACATTCTCCGTTTTCCATAAGTAAGTCGAGTGCGAAGTATTCGACGAAATATTTGCAATCATATCTCAATGACTGGCCGTAAAGTGTGTGGAGTAGTGAATGACCGGTGCGGTCGGCGACACAACAGCAGCGGTGAGCCTGACCTCCTTTCCCGAAGTTATACGACTGTCCGCCGAACGCCCGCTGATATATCTTGCCCTCAGGGGTCCGACTGAATGGCATTCCGTAGTTCTCGAGTTCGACCACCGCTTTGGGCGCCTCACGAGTCATGTAGTGAATGGCGTCCTGATCTCCCAACCAATCGGATCCCTTGACGGTGTCATACATGTGCCACTTCCAGTCGTCGGCCTCCATATTGCCCAACGCAGCGTTGATGCCTCCCTGAGCCGCCACTGTGTGAGATCGGGTCGGGAACAGCTTCGTAATCACCGCCGTCTTGAAGCCCTCCTGTACTAAACCAAAGGCGGCCCGCAGTCCGGCCCCACCCGCGCCCACCACTACCGCATCAAACGTATGGTCAGTCACCGCATAATCCTTTGAGATCTGTTTCAATCAAAACATTGCATTTAATGTAAGTTTCAAACCTATTATAGACTCAAAGACTCAATCAAATGGACTCTAAATTGGACTCCAAATGCATGTAATGTAAGAAATGAATCAATACTTGATGTGAAGACTTATGCGAAGAATGTGTTTGTTTGCGGCCATCGATGGAAGTGTGCAATGATTTGTGGCTTTGAGTGAAGAATATTCTGTTGGATTGGCTCTCAATTGAGGCCAAGAGTTGCCAACACTTGCGATAAGCGCTTACTTTCGGCAAAAGCATTACCAATGGATTTGACCGTCACTTCAATCACAACTCAATGCTATATCTCTTCGGCAAAGAATACACTCAAAACTGATCTCAAAAGCAATGCATTCCTAACACTATAGTCAACACACTCTAAGTGATCGCTTTCTTCTATACAACTCATAGGCACTCAACAGTTATATCACATTTCAGTTATCATTCACTAAAGTATACATCTCAAGACCACTACATTTTGGCCTTTCATCCATCAATCACGTGACAGACCCGATATGAGTGCAGGGGTTCACTCATACAGACATGTTGTGGGGCACTATTGGGGGCATTTCATAGCGTTATTTATTTTCAAATGTTTATTTCTTGTAATGAAATGTTCAGTAATAACGTATGCATTACTTTCAATACATGAATTACTTGCGGAATATATGATAGGAATACCTGTACACAGAATGTGGTTTTACATTAAAGTTGTAGTTTTTACAGTTAGTAAAGCTTCGATTCCTTGAAAATGGCTGTATTTCTGCTATTATGATCAAGAATAACACCTAGCGCGTTTTAACCTAGAAATACGTTCAAAACACATTTTTTATTTTCTATAGTTTCCCAGTTTTGGTATATTTTGAAAATATTTTATGACAAATATTTACTATTTCTCATAATTTCGTGACAAATCTTTTACATAACGTAAACCCAAACAAGTTTACATAGTAAACGCGAATCTAAATGGTATCTAGCTCAATCACATTTAACATTAATATTCTTGTAGTTATTATATTTTAATGAATTGTAAAAATAGTTGAATAAAATGTAAACATTTAAATTGATCACTTGAGGACATTGTTACAAAATGATTGGTTATACATTTTGTGACAATTATTGTGTAAACTTTAAACGGCTCTTTTTATACCCGTTTCTATTACCGAAGAATCCAAGTTCTAGTATTTGGTTTGAAATAATGCTTATCATATGTTATGCAATCACTCTAATTGTATGTCAATCTAATCGTATAATTGATTGCATACTTGAGTCCCACTTAACAGGCGTTAAGACAACAGTGAATTTGTAACTAACATTCAATTCACAGACATTTAAAGTCAATATTCAGTAATATTCTATAATTGCGGTGAAATGTAGTGATAAAGTGAATTAAAAATGATTACACAAATGTCTTTTAACTTTATAAGTTTATTATCAATTTATTTATTATCATGTGTTTTGATTGTGTGTTGAGTTATTTCTTTAATTTTCGATACATTAACAAAATTATTTTTCATAAAATAGAGAAATGAATAAAAATAGAAATCATGCAATGAATTAGAGATTAAATTTAGAATATTATTTAAAATAATATACAAATATATATCTATTGATTACAATTCTATTTTAGTTACAATTCATAAATTATAATACATTTTAGTTGAAAAGCATTTTTGCTTTCGTGAAGAGTTGGCACTAATAGGACAATAATTTACACGATTTGTACACAATATTTACAGTGATTTGATGACGATTTCGCTAAATTCAAGTTACGGTCAATTATTATATAACTTAATATAAGTAGTCTTTAAAAGCATTCAAATGCTATCAATTGATTCAAGAATCACTATTTCATAACAACTATTTCGATGTCTCGAGTAATGAATTTAAATAGAAATTAATGAAATGATTATAAAAAATAAAATATAAATAATTTACATAAACTCGTGAAAAGACTAGTTATGGACTGACGTATTGTGAAGTCAAACGTCTGTCACAACAGATAACATATCGTTAACCGAATAGGACTTAATCGGCGAAAATGTTGTCCATTTGTCGGCCGTATGGTTGGCCTCGGAATCACGTTTTCTAACTTTACGTTTAGAACTAATTTGATCCATACTTAGGCCTTTGTGAAGACCACTTCTGGAATCAGACGGACAGCAATTGCCCGACGAATATAATGGCGACAAAACAGCGTTGTGTTCGTAATCCTCGTAAACATAGTTATCGTCCATCGCTTCGTGACTCTGGCGTTTGGCACTATCGCCAGTTCCGCTGTCTTTAGCACTGGAACCCGAATTGACAGACATTGTCTCATCGGTATTGATCTGAAGGAATACATTACTAGTAATGTCTTTATTGATAACATGTCGATGTCTTGAGGTAAGGCTTCTGATGGAATCAAATTCGCCACTATTTGACTCGTCATCAGTATTGGCGTGACTGTAGCTGTCGTTGTGTTTTCTCGTGTTATATATGATTATAACCCAAATAAATGACGTGAAAACTATACAAATGAAGACTGCGATCACAATAATGCCTATAGTTTTGCCATTTTCTCCAAACAGAGAATTAAGCGAAAAACCCTCTTCTGGTTTGATGTCATCACCAGAACTGATCAATTGAGTGATGGCCAGGAAAATGGACTCTTTAGCGGTGCCTAAAATGTTGGACATTTCGCACGAATACTCGCCTTCGTCTGAAGGCTTTGTCTTCACTATAATTAGCAATTGATTGTCAGCTGTGAAGAAGTGGCGTTCGGTTGCAATGATAGGTCCGCCATCTTTTGTCCACTGGAGTGTCGGTTTAGGACTACCGGAAGCCATGCACTCAATGACTGCTGTCTCGCCAACAATGGCCTCCTTATCACTCATTGGTCGCACAAATGTCGGCACTTCTAATACATTGAGATACGCGCTGGCAGTTTGAGAGCCGGCGTCGTTAGTGGCCGTACAGGTGTAGTGACCCATATCTGACACTTTCACTTCCACAATGAAGAAGACATCGTCTGAAGGCATGACATGCATTCTGCGCTCCATCGCTGCGGGAAAGTTGTCTCCGCCGTCCTTTTGCCACGAAATCTCGGGCATAGGTTGGCCTCTGGCCGCACACTCCAGACGCGCTGTATTGCCCGCTTTGGCCGTCACATTAGAAGGGGTTTTAGTGAATGCGGGCATTACGTGAACATTGATACGAATCTTATGGGTATAAACAGTGCCAAAATTGTTGGAAGCGATACATTGATAGCGGCCCTCATCTTCGTCCTGTATATCAGTTAACAATAGATTTCCGGTATATTCGGTGACATTTCCATTGCGAACACTAGCAGTGGTTTCCAAAAACAAATTGCCGACAGAAGTGTTCATAATTTGATTGTCTTTACGCCATTGAAATTGCATAGGCATTGGACTACTGGACGCGGCCCTACACGAGAGGGTCATGTTATCACCTTTAAGTGCTGTCAACGGTTTGTCAGCACTTTGTTTGAAGTCATCGATGAGATAGGGTTTGAGGTAATTCTGACAAATAAATTCTTCGGCATTCGCCACAAGAAGTGATTGATTGAGCAGTCGTTTCGGATGCTTACACTTGGCGTCGATTGTTGTTAAATGGTTTCGACTCCAAGTCTTTAACCAAATCGGAAGCCATTTTAAAGTACAATCGCAAAGGAGATCAGTTGTGTTGAGTCGAAGCTCTTGTAAATTATTAAACCATTGGAATGACTGGTCTTGTATGGAAGCGATCGGATTGTCATTCAAATCAAGAATTTCCAGATTTGTGAGACCAGTAAAGGCTCGTTTCGATATCGATTTGATGTAATTGAACGCCAGACCCAACGTCTTCAGCCGACTCAAGCCCTCAAAGGAACCGCTCGAGTCCTCTATTGTCCACGAAATCTGGTTGTGATTCAGTTCTAATACTTCTAATGCAGACAATAAACGAAATGCCGAGTCGTCTATGAATGCAATCTCGTTGTAAGTGAGTGTCAAGTACTGTAATGAATGCAAACGACTGAACGTGTCTTTAGTGATAGAATGGATCCGATTGTTAGATAAATCCAAGTCTGATAATTTACTGGTGAACTCCCAGCCATCGCCATCAATGTCTTGGATTTGGTTGTGACTGATAATCAATTGGTTCAGAGATGACAACCCGTATAACCAACCCTTGCGTATAGAACTCAGATTATTGTGATCTAAGTATAAGAATTGGATTTTATTGAGTCCCCAAAAGGCGCCGTCGAATAGGTTTGTCAACTGATTCTTCCTCAGCTTCAATGTCTGCAACGATTCCATGCCATGGAATACCAGCCCTTCCAGTGATTCCAATCGATTTCTACTCAAATCCAGTTCCTTAAGAGCCGTCAGCTTTCGGAACAACTCTTTGGGTACGGAAGAGATGCGGTTCTTCGACAGTCGCAACACTTCCAGATGAGTCAGATTATCAAATGAGTTCTTCTCAATACTAGTGATGCGATTATTGCTTAAATTAATTGAATTCAAATGCGATGAGTGGTTGGCGAAGAAGTTGGAGACAATTGTTGTCAACTGATTATTACTCAAATCAATTGATTCAATCTCTGGATACAAATCAGTGGATGTATTGAGCAAAGAGTCGATGTTATTGTGGTGTAAAACCAATTGTTTTAAATGTATTAAACCATTCAATTGCGGGAATTGTGTCAACAGATTGTTGTTTAGTTTCAAGTCTTGGATCGGATTCTCTGATTCGTTGGTCATTCGGTTGATAAACAAATTGGTGTCCAATTTCTTCATCTGAGTGTGACTTAAGTCGAGTCGAAACAGACTCTTGAGACCAATGAAGGCATTCATGTCTATAGTGTTGAGCGTATTGTAGGATAACTCCAATAATTCACACCATTTAGGGATCGGTTGCGGAACTGCTGTCAGACGACGCTTAGAGCAGTCGACAAGTGATCCCAAACACGAACACTGTTTCGGACACAACTCCTCTTCGCTCGCCATCACTGCAACACATCCCGCAGTCAACAGTGACCACACTATAGGCCACCACATCGTCCAACACTTCACTTCTTCAGCACAATCAACACATTTGACAATCCTTTCAACCAATGCTTGCGTTCATTGTCTCACAAAGTGTTCAATTAATGGCAAACTAATAGTAATGAGAGATAATAACAATACGATTGGCTGTCAAGCGATGCGTTCATCTGTTATAAGACATCAATGGTTTCACTCATGAGTTTTGGTGTCGAAAATGGCTCTCAATTACAGATAAAAACACAGCACGAGATCTAATGTCAGAGTTTGTCATACATTGTATGCCTTATATACTGGGCTAAGGTTAGGCCCCAAACAACGTCTAACTCAATGCTTTAGTGGCAAACTCTCTGGTATTTCAATGTTTACATAAGGCTTTTGAGTCCCTTTTGAGAGGTGTTTGTGAAGAGAGCGCAGAGTCTGACAGACTGTGTGCACACAAACGGAGGCCGAGTGTGAGGGCATTGGAGGGGCACTGAAGGGGCGGTCATTGGGGGGACTGAAGGCCTGTTTGGCAGGCATTGCCCGACTCTAACACTTGTGGTGTAAGAATTGTCGCACTCTTGTGAGCGCTGAGCGTTGGATCCCATGTGACTCTCGACACCACTGTTTCACACATTGTGTGCCTCTCTTTGTATGGATGGCTGTCCTGTGCTGTCCTCCAGTCCTCCCAATCCCTCTGTCATACCATTGGTTCGTCGTTTGAAAAGAAGACCAAAACTTTGCTTTTATGACTATTTGTGCCAAAACTGATTTGACTCGCATTTGAATGCCTCCACATTTTGGTCATTCATTCAATGCTTTTATATTTGAGACCAATATTTGCCTACAAATCACTAAAACATATTTGAATTGATATTTTGCACACAATAACTGTTAACCACTTTTATATTTGATCTCAAATTTGCGAAACTTTCATATTTAGCCACAACTATAATACCTAGAACTTAAAGTTGAGAAAATAGTGGATGTAGACAACTTGGCCAATCTATAACTTTTGAATTGCCATTTCGTGTTGGCTATATATTAGGTGCTAATAATTAGGAGAATGTAAATTACTATTGAGTATATTATAACTTATAATTTTCAAAATGTCGTTTGGATTCCTAGCTTAGAAATTATAAATAAAATATTTGTTTAATTGAAGAATAAAAATCGTACACCACTTCAAAAGTGATACATACTTGCATTTATTAATGTTGTCCACCTTTAAGGCATACAACAAGGCATATGTGCATTGATTTGATTATTAAAATGGTGATTTTTAATTTTAAAAAAGTTCGTTTTAAATAACTCTTTGAAGTGTAATTTGCGCTAAACATTGTCCACATTTACAACTATCCCACTCTGTGTTAGGTCTCCAAACAGATGTCATTCATTCCTAACTTTTATCTTTTAACATAACAATCATTTCAATAATGAGTTTTGCAATGATTTTCTTGAATTTATAGTAAAATATATTTTAAGCTTTTAGTGTGATATTTGTGTGTGAAATGTAAGACTTAAGCCTTTAGTGATTCTGTATTTTGTTATCATTCATATGAAAGTAATTGACGGCAAAGTATACACAGGTGTTGATAGGATGTGATGGGCACGACTAGACTGACCAACTCACAAATTTTAATACCTTGACATTTTTCAAAAATGAGGCAAAAATGCCGAGACATTCCCTGACAATTCAGTTAAATCGCTTTCACATTCACCTTAACACTTGTTTTTAACAAAATTGTCTGCAAACATGTTAGGACAAATTATTTTCATTGTTAATAGAATCAACTTTATTTTAATTATTTAAAACGTCTAGTAATTCGCAAAATGTTCCAAACTTTGACGGTTGGTCACCCTAGGCAAGACTCCCGGTGCAGCTGCACTAACACTACTAAATACTGGACAATACATGAATGTACATCAAATCCCTTTAGCCACACATTTAGCATTTATTGCTTTACAACTTTACACTAACTTTACGTCAATTCCTTTAGAATTTAAATTCTGTATATAATACCCATTTGTGGTCAATATTTGCTCATATTTTAAATGTCGGTTTTATTTTGCAGTTATTTTCAATATTGGTGTAAATTACAGTCAATTCAATTAATAATACTTTCATTATATTTATTATATGAGAATCCATTTATTTAAATGTATAACCTATAAATTGTACCAAAATTGTTACTATTATTTGATATAGTATATTTTTCATATACATTTTCATTGTACATTTATAAGTCATTTTAATATTATGAGAAACATTTACAGAATTATAATAATAAATAAATACATAGTTGTGTGGGAATTAAGGATGGTGACAATAATATCGATACATACACTCGAATAATCTATAATGTTCCGTATGGGAAACGTTAATAACTTTTGACTGAGTAATTCAAGTTAGATTCATTATTTCAATTAAAAAAAATGTTGCCTGATAATTCAGTAATCGATCCATATATAATATGACATAGTACTTATCATAGTTAATTTCCTAGGTGAATTATGAGAAAAGAAATAATTTACATTGAAAATAATTAGCTTTTTGTACAATTATTGACTTTTTCTAGCTATATTAGTGCCGATTATTTAGAACCTAGATTTAATTTTGAAAATTTAACAAATTGAAGTTCTATTCACACCAAACGTCTGGGTGAATTTCACACATGGGATATATATTTTGGAAATTTCACAATTCATTTTAAGCGATCTGTATTTTGTAGAACGGAGGGTTTCTATAACTCAAAAACAACCAGGTAAAATATAGAATTTTAAAATGTTAAAATTGACAAATGATTAGACACGTATTTCAGGATTTTTCTAAACAAAAATCTGGATTAAAGAACAGATATCTAAAGTGCATAAAATTCTACATTTCATTTGCTTGCCAATTAAAACTCATTTTCAAGTTTAAACTGACAAGAATTACTAATAGAAAAAAGTAATCTCTTAGATTCTCAATATTTTATAGTTTTGAAGAATTTTTTTTATAAAAACAAAATTTGTATAATCGTTAATATTGTTTAGAATGAAATGACATTAGCCTCTATTTGTTCACATTTTTTATGGTTTTCAATGGGAATTATTTCTTTTCTTATAATTCACTTAAAAATATCACTGTGAAAGGTACTATGGCATATTATAAATTTAATAATATAAATCATAATATAAAATATGGATTGATTACTGAATTATCAGGCAACATTTATCTAATTAGAATTAATTTGCAAAGTGCCCTGGAAAGCATAGTCACTTTTGGCATACCTTTGGTTACTTTCATTTAGTATTCTGTATATTATTAATGACTATTTGAGTCAAATAAAAAACTATTTTGCGAGGCTTTGGTAATTAAATAATGAATTAGTTAATAAAAAACCGCACCCACAGTGGGTCCACACCCCTCACCCCTCACACCCACACAACACTCAATCCCTTATCAATGCATCGATTGATCCCTAATTGAGATCTCATCTTAAATCTCATGCAATATATGATCTGATATAAGAAAATAAGTGACAAAATGGCAAAAAAGTTAGACAACAATCGCTTCAATGAAATGACATTTAAATAATTGTCACAATTGGAGGACTAATACTGTATTGTATTCATAAATGTATTGAGAATTGTATTAATAAATGTTCAGTCATTACAAGACATAAGTTGTCTGAAAAGTGATGCAAAGAGTGCTGACAAGTGAAGCATAAGTGGAGTTAACATTGAAATTGATGTCATTTTAAGGCGTATTTGA